GAAACAAAGGGAGAAATTTGATCTGAAGTTGAAAAAGCCAAGGAACTTCAAAATTGTAAACAAAGTATTAGTCTATGATGCTACCAAGAACAAATACTTTACTGAAAAACTCAAACCAAATAGAAAGAACTTTACTTTATTCATGATAATTTGGAAAATGGAGCCTTTAAACTTAGGACAATGGATGGAAAAGTTCTGGCTGTCCCTTTCAACTTGGCCTTGCTGAAACCATATCTTGACCATAAAAAATGGGAACCTATTGTATATATTTAAAACTGAAAGGAAGAATATATAGTGTAATAGTAATGACCCCTAAGCTCTCATCACTATTACAGCCGGCCCCAGAGCTCTCAGTGATTATTGCATAATCTCAAGGTGAAGTACTTATAAGTAGACAAGTGAAAACATAAAAAAGAAAAACAAAAACCTTAAAGCTCAAGCGAGAAAAAGGTTCTATCCAAAGGAGCAGGAATAGAAATATTCAACTGGACCAACAGAATACCAAGCCTGACCATCCTTTGCCACAAGTTCTGGTTTTCCAACTCCAACTCTCTGACCCTAGTTAAAGTGAAACTTCTGGAGGCCAACTGCTCTACCTCCTTCTCCAACTGATGAATTTCTTCTTGAAGGTTATCCTGGGACTACTCACCATAACATATTTGTCTCTTCAAATATTTGACCCTTTCTTGGAGAATAATAACAGTTGCCCACAAAGGATCCATCCTTCTTGAGTGAGTGAGTATTTGTGCTTTGACAGTTCTGGTTTTTCTTGGCATGATGATAAAAGGAATATGAGAAGTACCCAACAAATCAAGAAAAATTCTTATATTAAATAAGGAAATATGGATGATTGTACCACCCCAACAATTATATAAGGGACCCATTTCCTACCAGTTTGCATCAAAAAGGATTACTATACTTGTGCAACAATTACCATGACTACCATTCAGAACCTAATTTTGGAGGATCTTCTGGCCACAATTCCTGAATTTGTGCAAGTAACCCAATACCATATTATTTACTCCAGCTCATTGAAAATCAGGTCTTATAAACATATAGGTGTATACAATGTGCTATCTGCATGAAAAACAAGATTCTCTTCTTGATCTATGCATACTATTTGGGAGAACTATTGAAAGGAATTATCAATCAATTACAACAATCCTATCTGAATAAACACCTAACTAAATATTATTTTACTGGATACCACCGCACTTATAGTCTCTTTAAAAGATTTGGGATTGAGCAAATTTGAAGAACAAGGCATACAACTTTAATTATAATTATCAAGTTGAAGTTCAGTGAATATCAACTCCTTGTGAATTCTTGATTCGTGAAACTCACTGCTTAAGTAGTGGGAAAATGTTAGCCTTAATTATTAGTTATATTTTCCTGTAATTATTATCTATAGTTTTTGTCTATCGTATTACTTTAGTTCTATTTTTAAATTATGTGACACATGTGATGCAAAGAGTATCTCATTGGTTCATAGAATAGATCCAATCATTAGAACAAAGTAATGATTGATGTAGTGCGCATTATTTAATTTTATTATTTAATTTTCATATCTTATCTATATTTAGTTAGCAGGTTACCCAAGTAAACCGATCTGGCATATTGACCTATTTTGACAAATCTGGTAGATTTGGTCACTTTGATCACTTCGGTCACTTTGATTACTTTGGTTACTTTGATTACTTTGATTACTTTGGTCACTTTGATCACTTTGATTACTTTGGTTACTTTAATCACTTTGATCACTTTGATAACTTTGGTCACTTTAGTTATCAAATAATTAATATTCAATTATATATATAAAGGCCAACTGTCTAAAGCAGTTGTCCCAAGGTTTTACCTACTGAATTCTCTTATCCTTGACATTATATATCTCTAATAAACCTTTTAATTAAACCAAATCACCCAAAGCCTCTTCAATGTATTTGTATAACCTCTACTATTCTTGAACTATCAACTTTAGTATACCACGACCAAGGTATTCTCTCTCAACTTAAAGTGGATTATTGCTATAGTTGTCCCATCTATCTATCTTATTTGGAGGCATTGGATAGGTTGACAGTATGTATATATCAAGGTCTGCTGTGAATGCTTTCTATTGTTTATCTGATATCTGTTTCCAGAGGAAATAGATATTGTTATTATGATATCAGTTATATTTGATCTTTGTATCTAATTACTATGATTCAATATATATTATTTGAATACTATGGTTATTGGTTATATTGGTGTTTTCAATAATGAATGAGTCTATGGTACACCATATGGGATGGGTGTTTGTCTATATCATATTGATTCTGCTTGAGAAGATCATCAAGTACCAGATATATTCTTTTGCAGAAGCTATTTGTTTTATCTCTTTGTGTTTTTCTGTTGATGCTGATTTTGTCTATTTTCTACAATGATTGATCTTAAAGTCTCCACTGATTATTATGTACCAGTTCAAGCTATTGTGTTATTTGATCCATTTTATAATTTGTTTCTGTACTTCTGTTCTGAGCTTTTCAGCTTTAACAGAAGAGTATATGCCAATAATTCTATAGTAAAGCTTATTAGGGAGTGTAATGTTTATGCATATGGTTTGATCCAAGAAATATTATATTTCATTATTTAGTCAGAGAGGGGTTTCTTGATTGCAATATCCATGTCAATGCCAATGTTATTATCTCCTTCCCATCATGTTAAGTAATCTTTTGTTTTCTAATGTTGTGTGTTATTTTTTGGTTCCGTTGGTCTCTGTTGATATTATTATATTCTAGTTATTCATGTGCCATATGGTAAACCAAGTTTCTTTTTTGAGGAGATCATTTAAGCCTTTGCAATTTAGAGTGGCTACTGTCTAGTAGGGTTTCGTGTGGTTCCATTCAATATTATTTGGGTTGTCTTGTGATGTGTTTTTGGAATGTTGTAGAGTATTTGAGTAGTTGTTGTTTTTCCGTGATTGTTATTAAGGGATGGAGTATTTGTTGTAGTGATATTTTGAATTGTTTTATTTGATGTGCTTTCATTTGTGTTTGTGTAATCAGGAGTGATAGTATTGTTTGAGATATTGTTGTTGTTCTTTGATACTTAGCTACTTGGAGATTTATCATTTTCTTGTTCAGTAAGTGTGCTACTTATATTACCTATATTATTAATATGTTGAGAGAGGTTGTCTTGAGTTACTTGGGATGATATTCATAATGGTTAATACTAGCACATTCATGGTTCTGTCCATGTTTCCTATTGATTGGTGAAGTTGTTATTGTTGCTATTGGATATCTTGAATATTTGAGGGTTCAGCTACTGGTGTTTCAGTATTGATGTCAGTATTTATATTGTTCTCTTTTATACTTTTTGCACCTGCATAGCAATATCATTTAAGGTTATCAATTTTTTAATCAAGGTTTTTCAATGATTCTTTGATAGAAGTAATTTCTTTACGAATTGTGTTAAGGGCTGTGAAAATGTCATCTGTTATATCCTAATTGTATTTATTTTTCAAGATTTTGTGGAAATTTCTGGCAACTGCAGTATATAATACTGGTCTGGTTAGTTTGATATTTCTTGTATATTGAATTAGTCTACAGATATGTATGGCTTTGGTTGGTTTGAATCAGTTATATAATTTTTTAATTTTTGGACTTGTTTGTAATTGTACTTATAGTTCTCTTTGTTCTTTAATTATACAGTTGGCTACAAGATGGTTGGGGCTGTTGCATATGGTATAGAGCTTCATGTCGATAGGTTTGTATGTTAAAATAGTTTTACCAAGACAGAAGGTTTCGTTTAGTGCTTGTTGGAGGAGTTGAAACTGAAGACTGCATATTTTCATAGTTTGTATAACATTAACCAGTATATAGTGACTTTTGATTTTTTTTTAATGTCTTAGGGAATCTAACTCTTCTTATTCTTAGACACATGTTATTATGATTTTATTACCTATTGTTGATTCACTGCCTACTGTAGTAGGCTAATCGACAAGTCTATCACTAATAATCAAAAGCTTGCATAACCTACTGTTAGAAGAGTCCATCTTTCTATTACCTATGCAAAACACAAATCAAGGCAGAGGTATAAAAAGATTTGGGCAAGTCTCAAGATAGTTTTCCCTAAAACTACTTATAACTTTACTATTATAACAATCTATCCAAAAGATTTATCTTAAGATTCGTCATTTTATTAAGTCATTAAAGGAAGTTATATTTATATATTTTTACACATAGGGCTATTACATAATCACTATAGCTATTCTAGTATTATGTCATGCATAAATTGCTTCTTGGTCAACTAATTTTCTATTACCTCAGCTCATAGTTTTTTACCTTTTTACGCAAATGGATTGTTTACGCATTCTTCTAGCTTGCAGGGGGTATGGTAATAGTTGTCAATTGATTGTTTTGCATAAGTTTCAATTACATCACGATCATCAGTCACGTGATCACAGTAAAAATTCTGAACTTTGTTTGACTTCTTTGGTCTTTAACACTACCTATTCAATAATTTTCATTGATTGAGATTTGGGTCTATATATTTATTCTAGATTTTTGATAATTTCTAGAAATTTATTTTTTATATAGGACTGAAGAATATCTTTTTTATTATTTTTTTCCAGTTGCCAAAGATATAGTAAGTGTTGAAATAAGATCTGTTTTTTATAAAAGATTGTTTTATTAATTCCTAGTATCTTGATAATAATATTGTCTAAGATTATATATGTTTTAGATGATGTAGCTACTTTTCATTAAATTTGATTTTTCTTTATTGTAATAATTGTTGGAAGGCCTATAGCTTTGAATGCTCATCATGCTTTTATGAAAGCTTGACTAAGGTATCAACTATGTCCTTTTTTTTTTGTTTATTATTTGCAATATATATTGAGTTCTATTCATACTTATTATTATATTATTTATATTGTGTCATATGTTTTATTATTGAATCTACTATTTTAATGGATTTACTTTTGTTTACTTGTTTATCAAATATGTTATTTTGATTTTAAATTTACAAGATTATTTGTTATTGTTATATTTTGATTAATTAATATATAGTAAATATATATTTACTGGTTGTTTATCTGTTTGTTGTTTAGTATTGATCTATTGTTTATTATTTTATCGATCTGTGTGGGGTAACTGATTATGTGGGGTATAACTTTGTTAATGAGTTTCGAATACATGTTATATTTGTTGTATTAAGAAATATATTATATAAATATTGTTTTTGTTTAAGTATACTGTAAGGATGTATATGAGTTTTACATTATGTGTTTATTTTTTATATATTGCAACTGAATTGTTAACTATATTCTTTGGCTGTTGCTCTTGAATTCTTGACATCCTCTTGAGTCTTTGTGAGTTTTTGAGTTTTAAATAGTTTACCAGTTAAAACTATTATATTGTGAAGATTCCTTTTAATGTCTAGAAGGATATTAATCTATACTGGCTTGGTTAAGAGCTAGGAAAGTTGATATTAGGTTCTTTGGCCTTACTATAATTAGATTTTCTTTTTTGTCTTTCTTCTTCCCAAAAACTTTAGTATAGTATAATATGTTATAAAAAGTATATACTTTTTTATTTGGTGACTTGTTTGTTAAGCCTTATAAATGTCTTTTAAGAAGAGTTGTATAATTGCTAGCTCTTGTAGTTGCTGTTGAGTTGAGTTTAATATGTCTTGTTCTTTTTTTAAAAATTATCAAAAAAGAAAATTTTTAAGAAAAAAAAGAATTAGTAAAAAGAGTTTTTTTTTTATTTGTTAATATTAATATTAATTTATTTATTATTATTAATTATATATTAGTTATTTAGTATTTAATTACTTATCAAATAATTAAAATACATATTTAACAACTCTTTCCCATTCACTTGTGGTACAGTAGAATTGGAAAAAAGTGAACAACAATGAATAGAACAACTCGGAGTGCAAACTTCAACTTTAGGCCTAACTACAATGAAAACAATATGTCCAAGGGCAAGACCGACCCCATCAGAAAAGAAACTCTACCAACGAGGCAAAGAAACCCAGACTCAATATAATGGCTACAACAACTTTGACAAGTATACTAACAACTGAGAAACCCCAAGTACCCAAAAAACTGTCACGCAAACCAAGTCCCCTTCCACAGAACAAGGCACTAACAGCAATCTCTGGAGCGAACAAGTAGAAGAAACCATGACTTCTCAGGCCGAAGGCCTACCCACACCTACACATACAATAGCAGAGAAAGGAAAGAACCGCAAGGATCCCGAAACAATGCCTACAGAAGAAAGAACCGCAGACTCCGACATTGAAATGATGGAAGAAGACGAGACTCCACACACCGAGAAAATACATAATACAGACCTATCCTCTCAACAAAACTTTGGCTGGCCGAATCCTAGAACCAAATTACAGAGACCGCGCCCAAGGTCTCCTTTTGACCCAAGTAGCAGATATGACCGTACTAGATGTAAAGTGGGAATCAAAGCACAAGATATTCCAGGAGACACCAATACAAAAAAAATAATTTTCTTGACTAGAGCTCTAGGCTCGCCAGAAGACCTCCTCAACATCCGCAGTGAACCTCTCAACGATGAGACACACATCACTGCCCTTTTCGGCAACCAGCAGGCAGCACAAGAAGTTATCACTATCAGTCTACCAAATATAGATGACAAGCACCTCTTTCATATGAAGATCAACAGCTTCGAGATTAAAAAGAAAACAGTATCAGGGTGTGGGACATCCTCCTGTACACAAAATTCATAGACATACAACTCACCTTTTCCAAATTTGGAACGATCAACAATATCACGATGAGGACTCATCAAATGTGGCAATCCACGACCATAACCTTCCAAGACAAGAATGACAAACTCAAAGTTACCAATCAAGGAAGCATACTAATCAAAGGGGACTCTATCAGGGTCTTTGATGCAATACTAGACATGAAACAAATGAAGAACCAAGTATCTATTGCAGCAAAACTAACTGGCCTCCCACCTAATACGACAGCATTTGACTTAAAACACATATGTCAACAAGTCGACGCTAAAACCTGTTATATCACTCATCATATGACATATACCAGAAAAAGATACGCAGTACTGAGTTTTGAAACTGAGACTAAACAAAAAGAAGCACTCAACAAAACCTTCACTTTAGGGGAAACAGACACTACTATCATGCCCATGGATACAAAACTTTGTGCTATCTGTGACCAATACAACCACCTTGCAGCACAATGCCCAAGAAAGGAAATCTACCAACAATGGACCGAATACAACAAAGGACAAGCAGAACACTTCAGTAAACTCTATACAAAATTCAATCTCCCACCAGTCAAGGAATCCGTAAACACATTTCCGTCAATCAAAACAAAAAATACCATGGATCATATGCAGCAGCCCTGAAGGCAAACAAAGCACCTATAGAACAGGACCAAGAATCACCACTAGCATAGATTCTCCAAGCAATTAAAGACATCCGCAATGAAATCACTAGCATCAAAGAAGCAATAACCGATCTGGATAAAAGAATCACCAACCTGGAATATCTCGATGAAAAAGAGACATACAAAATGGAACCAGATAACATATCTATAACTGAACAATACTCCCGCAGCCCATCACCATCCTCTACCCGTTTGGACATCCACACATCTCAACGACAGCTGCACTCTTCGATGGACAAAATGGATCATAACATGAACTCAATTTTGAACACTATCACCTCTCTGATTCCAAACAACCCCAACAACCATCTCAACACTAAATAATAGGAAACAGTCAAAATAGCAATCATAATAACCAAGCTGATGATGACTTTGGTACTGAATCGAAATCTCAATATATTGAAAATACCAACCCAAACACCTCATTACTCTCCAATACAACAGACAACGAATCCATCACTACACTTCTAACACAAACCAACTCCTTACCCCATCAAAAGAAACAACTAACAACAGACCATCACCCCAGCTCTCAGAACAGCAGAACCGAAACCTTTGACAATACACAAACGGACAAACCCTTCATCACAATCACAACACTAAACTGCAGAGGACTTAACGATGAAGCCAAACGTAACACATGGATGGAAGCTTGGCAACAACACTCTTAGGACATAATCATCTCAACCGAAACTAACCAAGACTATGACATATCCATCTGGAAAACTCCCCAATACGCAACATTGTGGGAAGGGGCAGGACATGGCACAGGCATAGGTATCGCACTGAGAAAAGACTTAGCAGATAGGGTTATTAATATACAAAAAATAGAAGGAAGAATACTCTGCATTGACCTCGCCTTCCCCAGGAAACAATACATGCGCATTATTGGCACATACCTATTAGCGACTCCAGGGAGAATCAACAACCTCATATCTCAACAGAATCAAGAACACTGGCATGTAGTGTTAGCAGGAGACTTTAACATGTACTCAAACACCAGCAAAGACAAATACAGTCCATACAGGAAGAATTTTGGAAACAAATCACCTTCCTTTTTTACAGACCTAGTTAATTTCAACATGATCGACACCTTCAGATACCACAATCCCAATAGCAAAGAATACACATGATCCCCCAACTGGACTGCTGATTCCTCCAGAAGCAGAATCGACGGAATATGGATCTCATCCCATCCATCATGGTGTTCAATCGACTCATACATCATCAACGCACCCTCTATATCAATGGACCACAGAGCAGTTACCACATTCATAGAAACCTGGCAACTAGAAAGCCCTATTAAACGTTTCAGGCATCCCTCCAACAACACCAGATTCAACTGAGCCTCTACCAATGAAAAACAATGGGACAACTTCACCCAACAAATTGAGAATAACATGCAACAATAGCAACAAATGATAGCTGATGGTACCAACATTAATAAATTATGGAACACATTAAGAAAATGGATACTAGAAGCAGCTCACTCCCACATTAAACAATACAAGAAAAAGAAAAGGAAGCGTTACAAACCAGCCATTGAAATCAAACTCATCTTGCTCCTTCAATTAAATGAACTCAGAACTCAGCTCAACCTCCTTAGGAAACACTCCCCGAGATTTAGTCACACTAGAACGGGAACATTATACAACAACATTTCAGACCATATCCCCATCAACCCTCTAGACGATAACACCAACCTGCAACTGGCCATAGAGGAAATCGATCAATGGATCAAAGTAGAAAAAGAAAAATATAAGAAATCAACAAGGGAAAGAACGAAATCAAACATCAAATCTTTCAAACAAAGAAGACAGAATTGATTCCATACAGATAAGAAAAGAATGATCAGAGCCCTTCTCGGTCAACCCAAATGGAGTATCGTCACTACAAGACTGGTCATGGGAGAAGACACAGACAAACAAGTCATCATTGACCCTGAATCCATCAAGCAAGCTATTAGAACACACTTTAAAGACTAGACCAAACACAGAAAGTTACAAGACATAACCAACAATGAATGGGAAACAGAATACCAACCCCAAGAACACATAGACGA